CACTTCTAGGTTCACGGCAAAATTGAGCAGAAAGTACAGAGTTCTCATGAACCCCTCCCCACACATGCACAGCCTCCCGATCATCAATGTCCCCCACCAGAGTGGCACTTTTGCTATAAGTGATGAACCTGCACTGACACGTCGTTATCACCCAAAGTCCATAGTTTACTCTGGGGTTCACTCTCTGTGTTACATATTCTACAGGTTTCGGCAAATGTATATAACATGTATCCACCATAATCCTCTGCGTTCCACCTGTTCATCCCTCCCTCCTCCCAACCCCTAGCAACCACTGATCTTTTTACTGTCTTCATAGCTCTGTATTTTCCAGAATGTCAGTGTTTTAGATTTTTGCCATAGACGTATAGTGATATCTTGTGATTGTTTAAATTTGCAGTTCCCTAGTGACATGTGATACTGAGCATCGTTTCTTATGCTTATTTGCCATCTGTGTATCTTTGGTGAGGTGTCTGTTCATATCTTTTGCCCATTTTTCAATTGATCTGATTCCTTATTGTTGAGTTTTAAGAGTTCTTTGTATATTTTAGATAACAGTCGTTTGTCAGATATGTCTTTTGAAAATATTTTCTCCCATTCTATAGCTTGTCTTCTCATTCTCTTGACAATGTCTTTCTCAGAACAAAAGATTTAAGTTCTAACGAAGTTCGGTTTATCAATTATTTCTTTCATTGACTATGCTTTTGTTGTTAAATCTAAAAAGTCCTCACCATACCCAAGGTCATCTAGATTTTCTCCTATGTTATCTTCTACAGTTGAGCAGTTTTATGTTTACATTTAGGTCTATGATCCATTTTGATTTAATTTTTGTGAAGGGTATGAGGTCTGTGTCTAGATTCATTTTTTTGCATGTGGATATCCAGTCGTTCCAGCACCACTTGTTGAAAGACTATCTTTTATTTATTATATTGCCTTTGCTCCTTTGTAAAGGTCAATTGACTGTATTTGTGTAGGTCTATTTTGGGCTCTCAGTTCTGTCCCATTAATCTGTTTGTCTACTGTTTGCCAATACCACACTATTTTGATTACTGTAGCTTTATAGGCAGTCTTGAATTTGGGTAGTGTCAGTCCTCTGATTTTGTTCTTCTTCAGTATTGTGTTGGTTTTTCTGCATCTTTTGCCTCTCCATATAAACCTTAGAATCAATTTTTGGATGTCCACTGTCTTGTAGTTTTATTTTGTTTAAAACTGGGCCTTTAATTATTATAATGTGGCAACTCTTTAAATCAGATCCTGCCTCCCCAGGGCTTATTGTTATTTGTGTAGTGACTTTCCAGAACTAATTCTGTACAGTCTGTACCCTTTGTTGTGTATGACTACTGAAGTCTCTACTCAGATTAATCTAGTGGTTGGCAAATGATCGGATGGCAATTGACTTAAACACCTTGAACCAGTACACCTCCCAGTATTCTTGTGACTTTTATGAGGAAGCAGAGTTTTGGAGGCCTTTACTCCACATTCCCACTGAGGTCACTCATTTGTGTTATTTTTTGTTCAGCTTTATTGAAGTATAATTTACATTTGAAAAAATTCACCAATTTAAAGTCTATAAGTTGATGAGTTTTGTCAAATGTATACAGTTATGTGAGTATCACCACAATCATGATAGAACATTTTTGTTACCTCAGAAAAGTTCACTTTTGCTGACACTTGACAACCACTGACCTGTTTTCTGTCGCTACAGTTTTGTCTTTTCTGAAATTTTGTATAAATGGAATCATATAGTGTATGTACTTTGTGTCTGGCTTCTTTCACTTAGCATAATGCCTCTGCAATTCATGCATGTTGTTGCATATATTAGTAATTAGTGCCTTGAATTGTTGAGTATTCTACTGTACAGATATATGACAATTTTTATTTCTATTTACCAGTTGATGGACATTTAGGTTATTTCTGCTTTTTGGCAATTTTACAAGTAAACCTGCTATTAACATTCAAGTACAAATCTTTTTATGGACATATGATTTCTTTTATCTTGGATTAATAGCTAAGAGTAGAATTGCTGGGTGAGATGTTAAAAATATATTTAATTTTATAAAAAATTGCTGAACTGTTTTGCAAAGGGGCCACACCCTTTTGGCAGTATCAGTAGTTCTGTATCCTTGCTAACACTTAGTGTTGTTAGTGTTTTTAATTTAACATTCTGGTGTGTATGTAGTTGTGTCTCAGTATGATTTTAATCTGCATTTCTCCATGACTAATGATGTTGAACATCTTTTTATGTGTTTATTTGACATTTGTATATCTTCTCTTAGAAGTGCCTTTTCAAATATTTTGCCCATTTTTTAAAAATTGGGTTGTTTGACTTATTGAGGTGAAGAATTGATGTATTCTGTACATGAGTCCTTTATCAGATAAATGTTTTGGAAATATTTTCTCCAAATAGAGAAGCAATTCTTAAGAGGCAGGCAAATATATTAGTTTAGGAGCAATAAAAAGATCCAAATCTATGAAATCCAATCTAGTTATAGTCTCCAGGTTTAAAAAATAATAGTTAAATTTCTTGCATGTGTCAGAAAATATAAAGCACATTCTAGCGTGTGGTACTTAAAGGATGAGCCCTTTGATGTTTTTTGTGTATTTCGTAGATTAAAAACTTTTTCACAGAATAGGATGGTTTGTTTGTGCTTCTAAACCATAATGGAAGAGCAAGTTTATTAGATAAGTAAACTTTATAAATAGCAGGCAGTCCTTTTCTAAACAAACCTGTTACAAAGCTGCCAAATGAACAACATTGACTTTTTTTTTTAACCTCTCACACTTCTCTTAGGTAGAAATGTTCGCACCTGGAAAATGGCCAAAAAGACAGGCTGTCAGTTGTAGGAGCAGGGCTGAGAACCTGCCAAAGACAATGAAAGGAAAAGCAATCAGAATGTGATATATGTGTGAACAAAATTTTCGTGGTCATAATAAACACTGAATATTGATTCATCAAAAACTTATGAAATTCTTATTTAATTATGTTTGGAAGAAGCAAAGAGTGAGTGAATGTGTGGATGCGTGGATGTGTTGTGTGTGTATGTGTGTGTGTGTGTGTGTGTGTATGTGTGTGTGTGTGCGCACGCGCGTCTGATGAGGGGTGAGAATGGGTAATAAAAGAAAATAAATCATCTCCCATAGAAAAAAGTCAATAGATAAAGACATAAACTAAAAGATCAAAAAGTAACAGCATAAACATATTAGAAGTAACACCGAAAGAAACAGAGTTGCCCTTCAAGAGGGGTAAATGGAAAGATGTGAGGAGTAATGTCTGACTCTTTAAGCCACATGCATTCATAATTGTGATTTGTGTGTGTGTGTGTGTGTGTGACCGGTAAGGGGATCGTAACCCTTAGCTTGGTGTCGCCTGCACCGCCCTCAGCCAGTGAGCGCACCGGCCATCCCTATATAGGATCCGAACCCGCGGCCTCAGCACTCCCAGCGCCACTGCGCTCCCAGTGCCGCACTCTCCCGAGTGAGCCACAGTATCGGCCCCATAATTGTGATTTTTTAAAAGCATTTAAATAAAATTAGATTAAAGGGGTATTTACAAAGAGACTTTCATGAAAATGAGATTGCAAAGTGTTGAAGAGTGAATGAAAATTGAGGATTCTCTGAGCAAGTTGGATGGTAAAAGGAAGGGGTACTGGGTAATCAGTGGAGTTACACGATGGGAAGACGGGAAGGAAGGAATTGACAGTTTGCTTGATTATGGTTCTTTAGGTAGCTAATTAATTGATTAGTCAATCTGTTTAAGACAGAAATGGGTTTAAAGAGAAGAAAGTAGCTGGGAGAGTTTGCCGAGAAGAGCAGGAATACACGAAGTATCCAAGTCCCAGGTGAAGTGATGGGTGTTGAAATCAAAAACAAGGTTAAAGGGTCAGCTTTGACCAAGAACAGGACCACGTTCTCCTGTAAGGCAGAAGTGAAGAGTGGCAGGATAAATGGGCATATAGATATAACCCATGATGAAGGGAAGGATTACTTTAAAATTCATGTCTAATAGGGTACTCACTGGCAGTGGTGACTAGGTCGTCTTTTTGATGGTCTGAGATTAGGAGCCAGCCAAAGGGGAAAAAATGAAAGGAATGCTGGGTAGCAAGTTTAGGAGCTGAGGGTGAAAACCAAAATGTAGGTTTTAGTCAGCATGGGCTGCCACAAGAGAATACCATACACTGGGAGACTTAAACAACAGAAATTTATTTTCTCACAGTTCTGGAGGCTGGAAAGGCCAAGATCAAAGTGCCAGCATGGTTTGTTTTGCTTCCCGACAAGTGCTCTCTTCCTGACTTGCAGATTGCCACCTTCTCCTTGTGTCCTCACTTGGGAGAGAAAGAGAGTGGTGGAAGGGAAGGAGAGAAAGAGTGAGAGAGGGAGCTCTCTGGTGTCTCTTCTTATAAGGACACCACCTCTATCAGATCAGGGCTACTCCTGTATGACCTTATTTACCTTTATTTTTTCCTTACCCAAGTACAGTCACACTGGGAATTGGGACTTCAACGTATGAGCTTTTGGGGAGACACACTTTAGTCCATGGCATGTATAATTCAGCCTACCATGTGAATTATTTCTCCATTCACACCAAACTGCCTGAGAGCAGGAGAGAAGACACATGGTTGAGTTGATCCATATCTGAGGATTAGCAAGAAAGACTTGATAGAGGGTCCAGGTGACATACGAATTGAGGGGCTGGTTACAGTATGGTTAAAATGATTGGCCATGGGTTCCAAGAACGGTGGGAAGAGAAGCCAGAGAAAAGTTGGTTTAGACTAGGGAAGGGGCAGAGATTGGCAGCGTGATGGCAGAGTCCCCTCCAGTCAGGAGGCTGGAGCGCAAAAGGGAATGATGTTGTAGCATACCCTCTGTGCCACACTATTGTCTTGGGACATAATTGGTTGTTTCTGCACTTTTTACTTTACTGGAAATAAAGGAGGATTATCAAGCTGGAAAGAAGGTTCAGGTTCATTAATGGTAGTAATTATCACATTTTTCTTTCTTTTTAGACGACTAAATACATTGAACAAGTGCGCCTCAATGAAACTTGATGTGAACTTCCAAAGGAAAAAGGTAGGTGTCCACACCTGAGACCATGACTATACCAACAGAAGCAGCTTGCATGCGTAGATTAACAACATGAACCTAAGCAAAATTCTGAAATGCCAAAGCATCTCCATTTGTTCTCCAAATATCCCGTCTTGTCATAGCCATCATAAATAAGTCCATTATCAACCCAGGCTGAGATCTGTTTGTTTCACCATTTCATTTTGCTTTAGTTTTTATTTGTTTTTTGTTTTTTTCCTTTTTTTAATCAGAGGGTTTGCATAAAGAGGTAAAATATCTCAATTTTTTATGGTAATCTTTCAGAAGTGTGTTTAGTTGGAAATGTAAACCCATTCTAGACTCAAATATTCCAGAGTGATTAGTAGATTAAGGTAGTTCACAAGAAGATCCATGGGTCCATGCCAAGTGTGTTGTGATTTATTTTTCTCCCCAGTAGCATTTACTTCAAGTACATGTCAAGTACACATCCTCTGTCAGGCAGGTTCATTTGATAATGGCAGGAGGGGTCAGTGGACAGTGTAACGACAAGATACTGAGTCTGCTCACCCCTCACCACTCTCCCCCCGTGCACTTTTCTCTAGTCACAAAGAATCTGGTTCACTTTTAAAAGTCACTGTGCCCCTCCTCCTTTAGGACTTTGTGTGTGCTTTTCCCTCTGTATGAGTTGACACTGGAGATTTCGGTTGTAATAAAGCTATACCTTATGGAGACTTACTGTTTTCCCTGAGCTGGGCTATGTACTAACCACACATGATCTCATTTGATCCATTGAGGTAGGGCTTCTCTGTATTCTGACAAGGACAGTAAACCTTGAACAAGCTGAGTCATTTTCCCATGAACTTTAGCTAGTGGCAGAGCAGGGTTCCAACCTCAGCTGTGTCCACCTCCAAAACCAAGGCTCCTAACCACTGTCACATACTGCCTCCCCTTCTCACTGAATTGATCCTTTTTAGGAAACTCAGAATTCAAATTGTTAACTACTTTTTCATTTAACATCCCCACTATGTAACAAGTCAAGCCTCAATATATTTTGAAGAAGCAGAGAAAAAACATCTTGGAGTCTGAAGAAAGTATTCTTTATTCTGGTCTACACAGCGAAGTCATTAAATCCAATGGATTTTTAAGTCACTCTTGAGTAACCTAATCTTTAAAAATAACTAACTTTAATTTCTACTCTAAAATAGCACACACACACACACACACACACACACACACACACACACATCAAATGAATTTTAGTTGACTTCACCTTAAAAACAATTTGGAGTTTGAGCTAGGAACCAAAGATTTTAACTGAGGAGGTAAAAGGGTAAAAAACAATATCCAGAGAAATATTAAAACATGAGCAATTTGTCCAAGCCAAGGACAAATTAAAAATGTGGGAATAAACCTCCCAACAGCTGTCTGGCTGAATAGACTCCTTGAGAAGCACACATGCTATTTGAAGCATGAGGGTCAGATGTTTTGATTGTAGCACATGGTTCTTGTTAAGCTGAACACAGCTATGCCTATGTCTAAACTGCTGGTCCTCAAATGGCTGGTCTCTGTGGCTGCCAGTACAGATCTTTAGCTGCAGTGTATCACAAAAGAAAGTGCCAAAAACCAAAGACATGATTTGTTTTCCACCAAGTGGAGTGACTGGATTTTTACCCTGTCACCAGCTTTTCAAAACCCACGAGCAAGATCAGCTTGAATAACAATTTTTAAGCTCTTTATGCTTTACCTTCACAAAAGCTCCTCTGTAAATTGGTCACTTCAGAATTCTGAAATTTTTAATGGATTCCTTACACTGGATATAGCACACACCCTTCCAGCCCCTACTTAACTAGGTTTCTCAAATGTATGCACTTGAATAAAATATTGCTTCTCACATTGTAAATTGGAGAGTCATGGCCTGAATTTTCAAATAAATGATTCTGACATGTGGTCTCCACCCACTTGTCAGTCTCAATAATCACCAGCCTCCATGGTTGGGTCTAAGCAGTGACACAGGAGATGTCATGGCACCCATTTCTGTGATTTGCCCCTCACACAATCCTTTATTTTACAGCAAAAAAAAAAAAAGGTACAAATAGTTAAGAGGGGCTAAGACTAAGCCAAATGATCAAAAATAGAAAGTGAGACTTGAGAACCCAGCACCCTGTGAAGCTTCCACCAACTTTAGAATTCATTTATTTGAAAGAAAAACAAGACAGCAGCATTTCATTTTGGTGTGTCCACATTTTAGGAGATCAAAGACATAGAAAGAGAACACTCATCTCCGATCTCCAAAAAGAGAACCAGCCTCCAATCAAAGCCCAGACTTGTTTAACTCTGCAGAATGGAGTTTCCTCCCCCCACCCCACCCCACCCCCACACCCATGGCTTCACTCTTCAGGCACAACATCCTTCTCTCTTCAGGGCTGTTGGCCTATGAAGGGGCTGTGTGTGCTGGCAGCAGCTTATGTGGTCAGCACATGCTGACACAGGGCTTCCTCTCTGCCAGGCACTATTCCTCAGCATGCACTCCGTGTCACAGATGCAGACATTGACGAGCTCGGTCACTCACTAAAAGCCAGGCAGAAGTAGCAGAGGCAAGATTTGAACCCAGGTGTTCTGTCACCAGACTGCTCGCCCCCCCCCCATCTTTTTAAGACATTCAGAAATGTATTGGGGCTGGAGTGCACTCCTGGCCCTTAGCCTGAGAACTGGAAGGGTCTCACGTTTCCTTAGCAACACATTCAGTCAACTCAGTTCTGTTGTTTTTAAAGAGGGATGTTTCTTGTCATCTGTACTAAAGTTCACTATTAATTTTTGTCTTCATGGCAAGTTTATTTAATTCTGAAGATTTGGTCAACTGACCCAAGAAAGAAAGTGAAAAATCCACAAATAGGTAAATATGATGAGACCTTATTCATACCTGGTTACACATGCGCTTTTCTTGCACAACAAAGCCACTTGTAAAGCAGCAGGAGAAATGACATAGCACCTGCCCTTCTGCAAGATAGTATCTAAACATTTTGCAGGAGAGAAAAGTGGTCCTTTAAGAATCCGAGATGTTCTTCCGTGCCTCTGCAAGCATCAGGTGGAGGGGAATGTTCTCGATCTTAGCCACGCACCTTTCTGAAAGATGGAAATCCAGCCAAGAGGATTCAAGAGCCTGAGGACACCACAGTCCAGCCACCTCTGCTTCGGGCTTCCCATTCCTCCAGCATTCCAAGTGGCACATTCCTGCTTCCAAACAAGCAGACTCACCCACTTAGCTCCAGTTAACTTTAATGGAAGATACACTTCTAATTTTCTATGCAACTACGGATTAGCTGCCTTTTGCAGCTGTGGACTCGGGTGGGCTCCTGTTTCCAGTGTAAATGTATGGCCACATTCCATTTAGAAAAAAAAAAGCCTTTTTTGGAGTGTCTGGTTTGCACCTGTCTCTGAGAAATATATGATTTCAGTGAAGAATGTTCTCATTTTTAGTAAAAGCCAAACATCAGAAGCTCATCTAAATTAAAAACTCCAAGGCACATGCAAACCTGTTCATTCTCAGAAAAATGTTTCTTCTTCATTATTACCTATAAAATTCACACTTGCTTCATGATGATGTTGAAATCCCTGATTATGGTTAGTGCTTATGTGATACAACTTCTGTTCAAATCACAGAAATTGAAGACTCCAATGAGGCTATTAAATGAGGAAAGAGGACACATTCCCACATGGGACTCTTTCCTCTTACCTAAGGAGAGTTCCCAAGAGAGAAATAGCGTCTTCAAAAGAAGGTTCTGGTTAAAGTTACAGTTTTAATCAGGCTCTCTGAAATCATGACCAAAGGTGGAAAGAAAAACAGAAACCATGACTAACTGTCCCCTTGTAGCCAGCACCTCCTGTTCTGGATGCCATGGGCATTTCAGAAGAGCTGCAGCTGTTGCCAAGGGTCCAGTGTCCACCCCCGCAACCCGACTGCCTTTATACCCTGCATCTCCCACCAAGTAAGACACCTCCTGGCAGCTCCAGACAGCAGACTCAAATGAGAGAAAAACTACATTTCATTTCATCACTCCCTTGGTTGGAGAGAATCAACAGTCTTGAATTTCAGATAATTACATGCGAATGTCCTAGAACCATAGGATCTTTGAATTGGAAAGGATTGTAGGTCATGTTTTCCAACCTGCTCCCACTCACCGCAGGATTTACTTTTCAGAGCATCCCTCACAATCCACTCAGCCTCTGCTAAGAAGCTTCTTGACACGATGAGCTCTTTGCATTGCAAAGCAATTATTTTGTTCTAATTACTAGAAAAGTCTCCCACATAAGCTGAAAGAGGATTCAGTGTGAACTAGCTCGTCTGATCCTAGCTCTCTTCTCTTTCACACGGTAACCCTTCAGCTCTGTCCTTAGACCAGGGGTCAGCAAACAACTGCTCCTGTCCTTGTAAATAAAGTTTTATTGGAACACAATCACACTCGTTCTTTTCACAATAATGGCAGAGTTGAATGGTTGTGACAGACCACAAGGCCCGTAAGCCTAAAATGTTTAATATCTGGCCCTTAACAGAAGTTTTCTGGCCCCTGCTCAGTCTAGAACAAAGTTTACCAGGCTGTCTGTAGTGAATAACTCTTTTTGTTGTCTTATTTTCACTTCCAGTCTGCCACAGATGAAGATACTTTTTTGTAAAATTCTATATAAATGAATTATTAGAAATACAAATTTCTTAAAAGCATAGAAAATATAAGCCTACATGTTTTAGTATGAGACTCAACTGACATAAAATTGCATTCCAATAAATATAATCAGAACAAATATAATGGAAAGTAGAAAAAAATTACAAAAGCTGTCCACATTTTTTATTGAAAGTGTCTATAATATGAAGAATCATGATTGAGTTTATAATATTTTTGGTGTTCATCTAAAGTAAACAGAATGTTTAGTTTGAAATAACAATTCGCCATACTAAATGCCTATGTGCACACTTTGAACAAACACTATGAATATAAAAGATTTTTAACATGACCGTGTTTCTTGTTGTTAAC